GTGAACAGCCAAAGGAATCGGAACTCTGTGTATTAAAATCCACTGGGCTTTCTGGGTCTCTCCAATCATCTCATTCACTCTCTGAATCACAGGCAGTAACTGAAGGGTTTGCTTTTAATATAGGTACAGGGAAACAAAACAAGGAAAATAGTGCTATGCTGTATCCCTAGATAAATACACACTACATTCACAGGCATCTAGTCTACTAAGAATTTTAATACTAAGTTTTCTTTTAAGAAGGACAGAGAGTTTCCAAGTCTATTACGTAATACTATTCTTTTATTTATTATAAGGATGATCTTATCTCCCTTGAGGTCTGTACAATTATTTTACTAATTTAGTTACTAGGTTTGGAAGGGGAACAAAGGTTGAGCTTTATAACATATTCTGTGCCCAAGCCATCTTGGGACTACACATTTGTGTTTACAAAATGATTTCTGGTTTAGCACCTTTAAGAAATACTTCACTGTATGAGGAATAGTTATAATATTATTCCAGTTCTGATTTTCTCGTGAACATTATACCAATTTGAATTGCAAAAATCCTGTTTACAAACAACTTTTCAGGAACACACAAACTGAATAAAGCAAGGCACACCTAAATTACAAAGTAGCCTGCCCTGGAGCTGTTCAGCCTTAAGCATCTTTATTTAGACCATTCCCTGCAATTAGAGCAGGGCTGACTTGCTGTCAGATTACAGTGCCAAGTCTAAGAAGTTAAATACCATGGACAGCTGCTTTCTAGGCCAATGATCTCCTAGCACCATAACAGATCAACAGACCTCAGCAACCGGCCAGGCGCATAGCGAAATGAGCCGGGTGACCTGAGACTCCCCTGCTTTACATCCCGCAGGATTCAGATTTATTCCTAACCAGCCATAGAGAAGTTTTTAGATAAGAATCCTAATCATTTCTAAATAAAAATACCCTTAAAGCAAAAATCTCTGCTTAGCATAGATCTTTCTAAACCCCAGTTAAGGGCCTACTTATTTCAAGCAAAATTCTACATAATAAAATTTCAGGACAACAAAGGCATTTGGAGGTTTCCTTGGAGTTTATGATAATATCTGACCTGCATATATTCACTGTATGGGAACTAGGGCTTAGAAATATTATAATATGACAAACATTATTTACCTCTAAGGAAGACAATGGCCTGCTTTACTCAATGATTCCCTGGGGTGAATTCCAATCTTCCAAGAATGTTTTGAAATTCTCAAGTTTGAAATAATTTATTCTGACTCTCTTTTCATTTAATAACAGAAGATAAAATGAAGGGAACTACTATATATAAACGTCTAACCACTACGCTGTATACCTGAAATTAATATAACATAATACTGAATGTCAACTATAATTTTTTAAAAAATAGACAGGAGGATATAAAGTATAGCATAGGGAATATAGTCAATAATATTGTACTAACTATGTACAGTGTCAAATGGGTAACAGATTTACTTGGATTACTACTTTGTGAGATATATAAATGTCTAATCACTATGTTGTTTTGTACATGTGAAACTAAAAAAACAAATTTTAAAAACAGAAAGGAAGAGGGCCGGCCGAGTGGTACGATGGTTAAGAACTGGCTTGGGACGCCAGAGGGCCCCAGTTCGGATCCCACATGTGAGGCCGGTGACACTGCCCTCCACAAAAAAACCAAAAAACAAAACAAAACAAAAAAACAGGAAGGAAGAGAGCTACCATTTATTGAACACCCCACATTTGCCAAGGACTATGTTCATTACTTAACATTCATTTCTTCATTTAATAATTTTCCCAACTTTATGAGTAGGTACTATTACTTTCATTAGGAAAGGGGCTCAGAGAGTTTAGGTGACTTCTCTGAAGTCACAAGGTTTATTATACATATTTTTCACTGAGTCATGACAAGGAACCTTTATCATGTCATGACACTACACAACTTTTTAAAGAGGATAATATTATCACTAAAAGAAATAATAATAACATTAAAAAGTGTACACATGGCGGAGCAATTAAATGAGATGAGAAACTATTACTTTAACTATGGGAAAAAAATGCCAGCTCACATTTTTCCATGCTTTGCAGTTGCCCCATGATATATATCATCAAAAACGGAACCAAATTAAGATTTTCAACTTGTCTATGATGCAAGTGGTTTCAAAGATATTACACTGCCTAGAGACAGGAAGAGCTGATGATTTTTTAGCAAGAACATTTGATGATTTGTACAAGAATACCTAAAATATTTTCTTTCCACTTTCTCAAACTCCCATACCCCAGTATTGTGCAAATAAGACAATGAGGTGGCTTTGCATGAAAACATGCTTAGTATTTTGCTTCCTAAATCCATGAATAGCACATTCCTCTCTATGAAGACTCCACTGAGGGCTGCATTTTGGCTTAGGGCCTTTTTTCCTGAGTGTTCCGATGATGTAAGAAGCACTGACTTCTGTAGGAAAGGTGAGGTACACAGCAAGAAATCAGTTTTGCAAATCAAAGAACTAGACGGCCACACCCATTCCTCTTTGGGACACTTTAAGTTCAGTGCCTGTGGAGCAAAACCGCCATAAGATTCTGAAATTAGGCATATGATAAAGACTAAATGCTGAAAAAAAACATTTCAGCAATAATTCAAAAGTGCAATTGACAAGGTAAAATTTCCTGAAGGAAATCACACATCATTATGCGCTGTTCTGCCTAAAAATATTGGGTTGTCGGAAAAGTCATGACGCATTTTTGCAACGAAAAACAGAAAAAATACGTCATGACTTTTCCAACAGCCCAATATATAAGTGTATTCTAGTATTCATGAGGAAAACCAAACAAGACATAGCTATGTTAAAAAATTTTGTCCCCATGATATTTACAGTTCAATATAGTTGTTGAATACCAAAAGAAATAATAATAATTCAAAGGGATAAATTAAAGCCATTTGGTGCTAAAAGGAAAATAATACAATGAACACATTGTGGGGGAAAATAAAAAACAGGAGAAATAGTCATGAATATAATCTTCTTCCTTTTTGAATTACGTAAATCCAGAATTTCCAAATTTAAATATGCACATTATTAAATATAGCACAAGTGTATGTATTTGAATAGCAACTATTAAGGAATGTCAGCCTAAGTTGCTGACTTTTAAATGATCATAAAAATGACATGACAGTCATCTGATATAGTAGGTAAAAATCCTGTTAGAGCTACTTTAATGAATGGCTTACGATTGATTAAATACTCTATAAATTGTATTTAAAAAGTTATTCCCCGGTGCATGAAACCAGCTCCCTCTCCCCCAATCAGAATACAAAATCCCCCTGCAACCTTACATACAGCATTGGATTGCTCTGCAAATTCCTTTTTCATAAATGTTACCAACATAACCTTAGCTGAGTCTGTGTCTAAGTTAATGAAGTTCCACTGTGGGGTAACAAAACAAAAAAGTGTTGAGTTCTCAAAAAGACTTTTTACCCTTGATGTGCCCAGGATATTTATAAGATCCCAAATCACTTCCTTGCTTCTAAAAAATATGCCTTTCTTTTGGCAATCGTTCAGTATTCTAATTGAAATAAGCACATAGACAATTAACACAATCCACTCAAACCAGCCAGCAGTCAGGCTTGAGGAGAGAGCTTGAGGGGTCATCCTTTTGGATACAAAATCAGCACGAAGAGGGCTTCAGTGATGCCTGTCTTATGCCCTCAAGGATATATACTCAATTATGACATCTGAATACCCTATTTGCACATAAGTGATTGTTTTTGTACTACGGTTTCTAACAAATAAACATACACTGAGTGAAATGTTAGAAAAAACACAATACAAAACAGTACTCTTTTGCATGTAGTAAATAAAAGTATTATTGGTGGGTTTTTTTCTGCACTTTGCTTCTATTTCATGGCTGTTACAAAAATGATGGTTGGTCATCAAGCTTGACCATAAAGGAATTATACTAAATTAATATAATTTTTTTCTTTTCATTCTGGAAAAAATATCTCACCCTCCACTCAACATCTGTTTTTTGCATACATGAGAATTTTCCCAGATGCTAGTATAAAGTCTGCATATGTATTTGGTTTTCTGTTTAAAATCACATTCAGAGATAACATTCCAATATTTGGATATAAATCAGAACTGCATTACTATGCTTAAGAAAAAATTTTATTGATGTTGCTTACCCGTTATTTTTAAAAAATAATTTACATTTTGCAGATCAATTTCTCTTCTAAGCTCTCTACCAATTTTCTCACCATCTAAGTAGTAGGATGGCCACTATTGTCATTAAAATTCCCTGAACTTCTACAGTAAAGATATTTTGGGTCATGTTTACCACAGCATGCAAAATGCGTCATCGAGCTACAAAGGCAGGGCTTGCCAATAAGTCTTTAATGGATTCCATTCAGTTCCTGGCCAGTGACCTAAAGCATTACCTACTGTGTAGATCAAGGAGAATGGCCATGACCCACTCTAATGGCCAGTCCTGCTAGGCCTGAGGCTGAGGACTTAAAGGTATAGCTCTGATGACATAAACAAACTTTCTTCCCTAAGCATCTTTAAAGAAATGGTTCATGATAGTTGTTACATGCCCATTTAAAAAGAAAAAGCCCTGAAACTTGCTAGTCACACAAACACTTTCCCATGAAAATGAAATTGCACATAAAATCATTATGCCTACTTTCAGGAAGTAAGAGACAAATTATTTTGTTTGCTGAGTCTGCTCTGGGATATTTATGTAACCTATATTTACAAATATTTTACTCGGAAGCAAGTAGCTTGAGAACTTACTAGACATTCGCAAGAATAGTCCCACATTTCCCCCCCCCACCACCACTGTCATGTTAGCCTGGCTATAAGAGAACCACAGAAAGCAACCTACTATCCATTACAGCCCCAAACACAATCACATTAAAAACAATGGCAGATCTCAAAAACATAGTAATTCAGAACTACAGTCAAGAAGAACATTAAATAAATAATCATTGCCACCAACCTTTGCTTGGGCCTCTGGTGCTGTCACCTTGACGACTTTATTGCGGTTGATCATTTGCTTCACACATTTTTCGACTTGAACGTTGAATTTCATGAAAATCACATAGGCAAAATAAGCTGTTAAGAGAAGCAAGCTTTCCCACCACATGATGACATTATCCAGGAAAAAGATGATCAGCATGATCAAGTCAACAATGTAGAAGGACACATCCCGGAAGAGTGGCCACCATGTCAGGTTCAAGATTTCTCTAGAAAACAGAGCACACATGCCAATAACAAAGAGGATATTGAACACTGCTGAGCCCACAATTGTGCCTATGCCAACATTGCTGTGAGCAATAAACACCCCTATGAGAGATGTGAAAAGTTCAGGGGCTGAGCCCCCGGCAGCCATAAAAGTGGCTCCAGCCACATCATCAGAGATGCCCAGTTTTTCAGTGATGACAGTCAAAGAAGGAACAAAGAACTCATCACAGACAATGGCTAAGGCTATGAACATGTAGATCATTCCAATGACATGCAGAACAATGGCACCTTTTCTTCGCTCCTCGAGGGAAAAGATGTCTCTTGGGTAGTCTCCTTGGGGATGAGCTGTACTGTTCTCAGATTTGCCTTCCTGAGAAAGAGGTGGCTGTGGAGTGTAATCCCGAATCTTGTCATTTAAATCTAAGAGAGTCCTCTGAGGGTAACCGTGTGCTACCTTAGCGCCACCTGCCCCACTGGCCTTTCTTGTGCTCTGGGTTTCTGTCTCAGAAAAGGCACTGATTGAAAATGGGACAGTGCAAATGGCTACCAGACCCATGAAAATGCCTAAGATTCGAATTAACTTTAGTTTTTTCCTGACATTATAATGTCTCCTGCAGCCAGATGGTGACTTATCTGAACACCATTTCTCAAAGAAAGTGATGGTGGTGCTTTGGTGCAGATGCATCCTGGGTCTTCTGATGGATATAGTAGTCTTCAAATTGTAAACTCAACCAGATGGGTCTTGCATACTTGGCCTCACTTTATAGTTAATGGTGCTTGTGAGGCACTTCCACAATCAGGGGTTCTTATGCTCCACAGGAAATATTTTCGACATTTATGCTTAAAAAAAATAAAAACAAGGATAAGTAAATCATAAGATCACATGTCTTTTTTACAAAAAGAACTTTGTAGATATGATAAAGTTCTATCGTGTAGCTATGTGACTTTGAGTAACTAACTTAGCTCTTCTGTGCCTCACTTTCCCTTTTTCAAAAAATCAGGACAATTACAGCACCTAGCACCAAGGATGCTTTGAAGAACAGTTAAAACACATGAAGCACTAAGAGTAGGATGTGGCACATCGTAGGCACCTACTTATGAGAATGTATGTTCAAATTCAAACATTTCAGTAAATCCCATATTAGGTGTAGATGTATGTAAGTATAAAAATTTTACAGATGGAAATCTATCAGTTTATCCCATCTTAAATCATGTAGCAAATAACCTCCCAGTGCTAAAGATACCACTTCTTTTAGAACTATTCTATATACTTGACAACCAACAATTATCCACTGTGTTTTCTTTTAGTCCAATTATATAATTCCAGATGCAGGCACACTTTTCTGATTTAATCTATCATTTGGAAAGGGTTGAGTGTTGGAGGAGGTATCACTCTTTTTCTGAACACAGAAAGATCTCAGGATCTTATTTTCCACGAAAAGCTTTTCCTATATTATATGCAGAAAAATAGCCCTTGAAAAATTTAAGTTTAAAAAAGAATGTTGTTGCGACATGAACAAATTCTCTTCCCTGAACATCTAGACATTGCTTTCAGCTGAAGCTCATTTTTAAAAACAACCTTTAGTCAATTAAAATAGACAGTTCAGTAAACAACTCCTAATAAGTAGGTGTTTCAAGAGACCAAGTGTGTACTTCTTAAACAATATGCAAATTAAACCAACACCTCTGTCCACAAAATCTGTCCCAAATAGCCTCAACACTGACTCTTCTAGAAGGTTAGATATGCAAGCAGTTTTCATTCTCTATCTCACAGAGGAGATGGGCAAAATATCCAGACACGACAGTTGATAATCTGAAGGTTCCTCTTTTTAACTTTCTTTTAAAACACTATTTTTGTTCTTTTTTTCTATGTCAACGACTTCATTTTACAGACATGCTCTGAGATCATCTCAGGTGTAAAATAAGCTAAGTAAACACATGCCACTTAAACACTGAGATCAGCTGTAGGTCAGGTTTGCAGAGCAGGAGCACAAGTCAAAGCAGGCTGAGATGCTGCTTACTTCCGAGATAAACCCAACCAGTCACTGAGATTCCCGACTGGATGGCATTTGTCTACACTTAGCACTAATGATTAAGCGACTCACAGCTCTCCGGGGATTGTCACACTGCTGGGCCGGGGCAACCGGCAGAGACGGACTCAACTCCCAGGGTACATTATCAGCTCCAGCCCGAGCTGGGCTCGACCTGCAAACCCACCGCTCCGCTCCATGGCAGCGGCCTCCGCCGGCTAAGTGTACCCCCAGCCGCGCCCCAACTTTGCCTCGTCTGGTCCCAAACTTTCCCTAGTGGGTTAATAGGAAAATAAAACTATAGGACATACGCTCCATTAGCGAGCCAGGAGCTGGGATGCAGCTAGGGGAGGCGCTTGGGCCGCATCTCCCCGAATCCTTTGTGGGTGGGTGGGTGAGGAAGGGGAGCGCCCCTCTGCGCGCCCTCCACCCGACGCCGGAAGCAAGGGCGATTGTGTTGGGAGAAGCGGGGGGCTCGGAAACTGCGCCCGGGAACCGAGAGTTGGCTAACTCCTTGCGGGGCCTGAGGCACCCATGTCCACCACAGAGCCACCTGTGAGCCTGCGGCGCAGCAGCGGGATGCGCACAACCAGGATCCGGGGACGACAACCCAAGCAGCCACCAAGCCTGGCGGCTGGCAGAGGCTCAGCCGCCGGCACTTACCGGAATCCGCCAGGAGGACGCGCACACCGCGCTTCGGTCCACAGCCTTCTCCGGCCCTTCGCCTCCTGGACCTGAGGCTCGGGCTCCGGCTCACGCTCACCACCGCTCTCGCCGGCCAGGGTTGGGCTCGAGAGGAGACTGAGCCGCGGCGAACCCTGCGCGCCGCCTATGGTGCTGCCCGGCCCCCTCCGGCCCCTCCCTCCCGGCTCTGCGCGGGGAGCGTGGCCGCAGCGCTCAGCTCCCGCGCCCTTTGCTCCACGCCTCTTGGGCGCAGAGGCGACGCCGACAGCCGTCTCTTAGGAGATTTCTCCGCAGTGGGGCCCCGGGTCAGTGTTTTAAGGAGAGCAAGGACAGAGAGGAGATATCGTACAGGTCGGTGACGCGCCTGATTCCCAAAGCCTGAGAGTGCTGCCAACTTCGGTGTCATCTATCCTGGGCACCTCCTCTCCAATTATCTGCAAAAAGTGACAATAGTCACATATTTCTTTAGGAGGTGATGTAATGTGTAAAGGTGGAAAAGGTGTTCAGTGAAAAGGCACGAAGGCCTGCAGGGCTGTTTGTTCCTGGTGTCTCGGGGTTGGATGGTTGGGACACTGAAGGGTCTTTAGACTTGCAAGCTGACCTTTTGTTTTTTCATGAGTGATGAAACTGAGACCCAAGACACAGTGGCATTTTCAGTCACAGAAAGGGTTCATATGCTGACCTCGGGACTCTCAGCCCGGTGTTCTTTCCTGCTGTCTGGAAAGCAAGAGCCCCTTGACCCCAAGAAAATGAGTCAGACTTTTTGGGGATTGGAGGCAAGGATCTGGAACCACAAGTGGGAGAAGACAAGACAAACTGGTACCCGAGGGAAGCCCCTTTTACCCAGCCCTGTGATCACCACCCAAACTTCCAAGAGGTACCCACCATGAGAGACCTTTGGGGCGTTCAGCAAAGGTTTTCCATTTTCCTTCCTCTCCACCCACCTCCTGTTTTCCTCTTAGAGGGGTTTTTTTTGTTTGTTTGTTTTGTTTTGTTTAAATCACTTAAAGGGGTTTTTCTCATGCCTTCCTGGGACTGGGAGGAACGTGGCTCATGACCTCTGACTTTGAGTAAAACCCTATACTCAAATCTCTACACTCACACTTGATACATCAAGAGAAGCTTTGGGAACTTAGAAATCTCCTTTTCTCCCATAAGAGCCAGCCATTTAAGGCTATTGTCATGCCAAGGATTTAAAGGTCCTCTTTTTTTTCTAAAGGATTATTATTATCATTATTATTATTATTATTATTATTATTTTATTAGTTTCAGGTGTACAAAACAATGTAATAGTTAGATATTTATACCCCTCACAAAGTGATAACCCCTCTCCCCCGATCTACTACCCCTCTGACATCATATATAGCTGTTACAGTTCCACTGACTCTATTCCTTATGCTGTACTCCACATCTCGTGACTATATACATACATATATATGTATATTTGTGTATATATATATATATATATTTGATTATAGTAGACATTCAGTATTATTCAGCTTCAGCTTCAGGTGTACAGTGCAGTGGTCAGGCATCTACACTGTCCATGAAGTGGTCTCCCTAATAGGACCAGTGCCCATCTGACCCCCTTACAAAATCTTTACAACATTAATGATTATATTCCCCAAACTATACTTCATATCCTTGTAGCTATATTGTGACTACTAATTTGTACTTTTTAATCCCTTTACCTTCTCCCCCATCCCCAAAGAAACTGTGGTATATTTATACAATGAAGTATTACTCGGCCATAAAGAAGAATGAAATTTTACCATTTGCAACGACATGGATGGGCCTAAAGAATATTATGCTAAATGAAATAAGTCAGACAGAGAAAGACAAATAACATATGATTTCACTTATATGTGGAATCTAAAGAACAGAATAAATGGACAAACAAAACAGAAATAGACTCAGGGATATAGGGGGAAGAAAAATCTCAAAGTCCTCTTTTGGAAGACATAGGCTGAACATTTTTTATCTTTACTTTTCATTTTGGAAAATTTCAGACACATACAAATGTAAGAGAATAGTATAATGAAACTCCGTGGGGCCATCACCCAGCTTGAGCAATTATCAACTCATGGTCAATTGTATTTCATTTAATGTCCCTTTTTCCCATGCCATCATTTTAAAGCAAATCCTGGACATTCTATCATTTTATCTATAAACATTGACAAAAAGCAAAGAAGGTATCAAAAATGACTAGGGCTGTGTCAAAAAGACTAAGAAACCAATTCAAATAGGTTCCCACTAGGCAAGGATGGGTTAATTTTAACATCAAAAATTGAGAATTGCAGTTGTTTCAAATACATCAAGTGTGATTATATCTACAAGTTCATAATGATTCTAAAGCAATTCAATTGATTGGTCACTGTTGCTAGGTGAACAACTAGTAGTTTTTGACATACAGTTCCATAGCATCTCAATGAGATCCACATTGGATTGAAGACTGGCAGCTGAACTTGGCACTCAACTGCCTTGACAGTTGATAAGGCTAAAACTGCTATCATCATAGCAATGGAGAAAAGCATGGCCTATCATTTGTCTAAGTCGTACAACATGAAAGCAATTGAATTCAACAACACCTGTAGGTCTCCCAGATGCACAGTCTTTATTACCTAGTCATGAAGAAAAAGGGAGCTTCATAAGAAAATTTACTATCACCAAATGATAAGTTACCAAATAGCCTTGGCCAAGTCCTTTGCTAAGAGATTTAAGTAATCAATGGGTTTCTCTGTATAAATTATTATTAAAGAGCCAACTCTTTATTTTTAGATACCTGCATATGTATAAACATTAGCATCATATTTACCTTTCTATTAACTGTATGAGGTCATTGATAATTACCAGATAAAAATGTTGAGCTCTTTTTGTAATTCAGAAGAGGAGCCTTTTAAAAAATAATAACGAATTTTAAAAAGAATGGAGTCATACTTAAGCTAATAAAGGATTTTGAATATAAAACTTCCAAAGGGAAAAAGGAACCAGGTTCCCACTCAAGATGGTGATGTAAGATATCCTGAACTCACCTGTCCCCCCAAAACACCAAATCTACAGTTGTAGATAGAAAAACTTTCTCTGAAAAACACCAAAACACTGGCTGAGCAACTCCTACATACCCATCAGGTAGGAGGGGCTGGGACACAATCGTCATAAGCCCCATCCTTGGTACAGCCACCCACAGTTAGCAAGAAACTCAAAACCCAGAGCTTCTCCCTGAGGAGCTAAGGGTTTGAGACCCACATTGGGCACTTCCAACTTTTAAAACCAACAGCTGAGAGAGGAGCCCCTAAAACATTTAGCTTTGAAAACCAACCAGGCTTGCACACACCAGACCCACAAGCTATAAGGATAGGAGAAACAGTTCTTAAAGGAGTCCCACTGAAACTCATCCGCCTCAGGGCCCAGGGCAGAAGCACCGATGGAGGCGCCCCTGGAGCTTGTGTGGGAGAGGCCCCGTTTGCTTGTCTTGGAGCTTTGGCTGGAGGGGCAGGAATCTGATTGACACAGGTTTTGGGGCCTGCTGGGGTGCTCTCAGGGACAGAGACTGGCGGGTGCCACCTTTGGGCTCTCCCTCTGCCTTACTCCAGCCTACAGTGCCATCTTTTATTCTTAAACTCCCGGCTTTTTATTTTCTCTTTCTTTTTTCCTTTTTCCTTTCCTGGCAGGTGCTATCCCCCTCTGCCTCACTCCAGAGTGCCAGCATTTCCTTAAGGGGAGCTTTTACATACCTTTTGGTGCCCCATTCCTTACAGCTGCTGCCCAGGCGATGGATGCCCTCGATTGCCTGGCTCTGGTGGCTAGGGGCCTTGCATTCTTAAGTCCCATGGTACTGAAACAAACAGAGAGACCATTCTTGGCAGGCTGCCACCCCCCAGGGCACTGCACAGACAGTGAACTGAAACACATCCCAGTCTTTCTGTGGAAGAGGCCTATTTGCTTGTCCTGGAGCTTTGGCCTGAGGGCAGGCTGCAGGTTTGGCATCTAGGAGTCTACACACGGAGGATGTGTTCCTGGGGAACACTGGCCAGTGTATGCTATCTTTGCACTCTCCCCGTCTCACGACAGCTCCCTAGTGTCTCAGTGTCTCCCAGACAGGGATTTATAGGCTCATCTGGAGCCCTGGTTTTGGGGACTGCCACCTGGAGAACACCTCTAGACTGGCTGGCCCTTAGGCATGGACTTATGCTTGCCGTCTCATAGGACTGTATGCATTTGCAATCTCTAAAAGCTGCTGCGTGAGGTTCTGGCTTCCACTTAGCCTGAATCTGGGTGCCGAGATCCTCCCCTTTGGGAGACGGACAGGTCTTGGCACGTCCTCAACTAGTAGGAGTCATTAAAAATAAAATAGGCTGTTTGGCAATCACAAAGGTTTGAGAGGCAACCAAGGGCTAAGGTAGGGTTGAATTATAAGGTTCACCTCCTACACAAGGCCACTCCTTCAAGACTGGGAGAGGTGGCTGGCTGTTTTACCTAATTCATAAAACCAACACAGAGAGTGAAGCAAAATGAAGAAACAAAAGAATATGTCACAAAGAAAATAATAATAATAAAGAAAGGAAGAATAAATAAAACATCAGGGGAAAAAAAAAGAAAACTGCCAAAGGAATGTTAGTTAATAATTTACTAAGCATCTATATCATTTTCACCTAGAAACATAGGATGACATAGTTTAAGATAGGGTTGGGAAGATTCTCTTGTCCCTATCCAAAATGACACCCCCATTTGGCACTGTTCTGTAATTCTACCACTAGAAATTTATTGTGTTGGCTTTTTATTTTATATCTTTGACATTTTTTTTAAAAGTAAATGGCTTTAGAGTTATAATGATAAGCAATTTTATATTGTTTTTGACTTGACTTTCAGTGTAAAAGAAACAAAAATTCTAGTAAATTTTTGTGAGCGGAAGGTGGGAAAGAGATAATTGAGCCAGGAAGTTGCGGGCAGCAAAGAGCCAAGATGAAGTATTCAGTTTTGACTTTGTCAGTTTATCCAGCTCTTTTTTCATTCTCCCCCCACACATTACTCTTTTTTCTCACTTTTATTACAGTCTCTAGTTTCTCTGTTGTCAATTTCTGCAGGCAGTCAGAACATCGATGTGCACAAAAGCAGCAGTTCTCAACCTTGACTCACTAAACATTAGAATCAATTGGCTGTATTTTTAAAAGATTCCCGACAATGGCACTTCTTTTCCCCTTACCATGAGCTCCTTGAGGGCAAGAATCAGTATCATGCATTTCCCAGCATCTGGCACAGTGCTTGGGATTTGTTCAACACACATCTGTGGAATTAAATTAATGAGTTGCTGGAAATGCAGTTACTTAAAGGATAGTGAGTCAAGAGGAGGGTGCAGGTTATGCTGCAGTAGCAAAGAGCTCAAAAATCACAATTGCTTAAAACAACAAAGGTTTTCGTTTCTCACTCATACTACCCGTTGTCGTTTGTGAATTTTGCTGTGTCATCCTCACTCCTCACCCCAAGCTGGTCACGATAAAAAATATTGCCAGTTGCTGTCTAGAAAGAAAAAAGTGCATGGCAAACCCTGTATGTGCTTTTAAAGCTTCAGCTTGGAAGGGACACATTATTGCTGCTCAAATTTCATTTGCTAAAGCAAATCACATGGCCATATTTATCTTCAAGGAGCAAGAAAGAGCAATTGCACTTTATGCTTGTGAGAAGAGTGACAAGATTTGGTGGCCAGCACTAATGACTACCTTTTTTAGGAGTCAAAAACAGGAACTAACATGTATACCTACCATGTACTAGA